ATTATATGTACGTATCTATCTATCTATCTATCTATCTATCTATCTATCTATCTATCTATCTATCTATCTATCTATCTATCTATCTATCTATCTATCTATCTATCTATATCTATCTATCTATCTATCTATCTATCTATCTAACATATCTAACATATCTATCTATCTATCTATCTATCTATCTATCTATCTATCTATCTATCTCTATCTAACGTATCTATCTAGCTATCAATCATCTATCTGTCTGTCTGTCTGTCTGTCTGTCTGTCTGTCTGTCTATCTATCTATCTATCTATCTAACGTATCTATCTAGCTATCAATCATCTATCTGTCTATCTATCTATCTATCTATCTATCTATCTATCTATCTAACGTATCTATCTAGCTATCAATCATCTGTCTGTCTGTCTGTCTGTCTATCTACCTATCTATATCTATCTAACGTATCTATCTAGCTATCAATCATCTATCTATCTATCTATCTATCTATCTATCTATCTATCTATCTATCTATCTATCTATCTATCTATCTATCTATCTAACGTATCTATCTAGCTATCAATCATCTGTCTGTCTGTCTGTCTGTCTATCTACCTATCTATATCTATCTAACGTATCTAGCTATCAATCATCTATCTATCTATCTATCTATCTATCTATCTATCTATCTATCTATCTATCTATCTATCTATCTATCTAATCTACATAAATATATACATACATACATAATACATACATACATAATACATACATACTTATACACACACACATACAGAGAGAGAGAGACATACATACATACACACAATATTGCATGGAATTCCATCAAACATTATGAATCTAGGACTACTGAAAGAAAATAAATTTCTCTTTGCCTAGAATAGTGGCAATTATTGTACATTATTCCACTCCTATCTGCTTTTAATACGTGCCCCTATCCTGTTGGGCATATTTACTTTTTGTTATACATGTTCAGTATTGCACTATATTTTTTTACTGAGTCTTTCTGCCTTTTTAGATTATTTTTGTTCTCCTTCATCCTTGTTATGTATTTAGCTATTTTAAAGCTACAGTAATAATAAGACTTCATAGGTTCCTTGTATCAGTTAAGGGAAATTTTATACTCAGGAGGCAAAAGTCCTACAAATCCCGTAGGTCCAAAATTTGGAAGGGAAGAGAGAAAGTGCAATATTGTTATGCCACGATATCATTCCGTTATTCTTTACGTGCTCTGTAAAACTTGGTGTCCTGTGCAAAAGAGCAGGTCCACATGGGAAGTCCAGTTAAACTGATATATTAATAGTAAGCCTATTGCAGAAGACTCTTCTCATCTATTAGAGTTACATAAAGGTTGGAGTTGAATGGAATTCCAGTAGGTGTGGACAGCTTGTGCTACTTAGGATTCTAGACTGATCCCTCTTTGAGGAGTCCTTGGGGCTTAGAATAGAATAGAGCTGGAAGGGACCTTGGAGGTCTTCTAGTCCAGCCCCCCACTCAAGCAGGAGAACCTATACCATCTCAGACAAGTGACTGTCCAGTCTCTTCTTAAAAAACCTCCAGTGATGGAGCGCCCACGATTTCTGGAGACAAGCTGTTCCACTGGTTAATTGTCTTCACTGTTAGGAAGTTTCTCCTTAATTCCAGGTTGCTTCTCTCTTTGGTCAGTTTCCAACCATTGTTTCTCATCCTTCCCTCTGGTGCTTTGGAGAATAATTTGACCCTTTCTTCTTTGTGGCAGCCTCTCAAACACTGGAACACTGCTATCATGTCACCCCTATTTCTTATTTTCTTTAGACTAGCCAAACCCAGGTCCTGCAGCCGTTCTTCATATGTTTTAGTCTCCAGGCCTTGGATCATCTTAGTTGCTCTTCTCTGAATTTTTTCCAAGGTCTCAACAACTTTTTTGTAGTATGGTGACCAAAATTGGTTGCAATATTCCAGGTGTGGTCTCACTAGGGTTTTACAAAGCGGTACTAATACTAATACTACTACTAATAATATTTCTTGCAGACATTTCATTATCCAAACTAGGTAACATCACCAGTGCTAGTCTGATGCACTGATGACGTTAGCTAGTTTGGGTAATGAAACGTCTGCAAGAAAACAACCAAGCTCAGAGAATATCAAGGACCCCTCCTTTCAACCTGGAGGTACAAATATTTTCCTTTATTTATCCTGTTGTTTAACTCCACCCCTGGGGGAGGGGGCAGGTTCTGCCATTCCTTCTTCTACACTTGGGATGTTTTCCTTGGCCAACTAACCCAGGATGAATAGAGCTACTCAAAAAACAAACTGTCCATGTATATAAGAACCTTCAAATAATCCATTTTATCCATGTCTTGATTTTACACAGTATTCACAGGGATGTTTTTAGGAAGTCTATGACTTAGAAAGGAAGGGTGTAGCCCTCTTCCAACAAAGCCCTTTTATAGCCTTCATACCATCAAGGAGTGATGTTGATCCATGTCTGCTTACTTGGCAGTTACTTTAGTTACAACAAGAGGAGACCTTTTAAGCAAAAACAGGAGTACAGGGGCATCTTAAATGATAAGTAATAACGTTGCGGTCTTTAATGTGTCCTAAGANATACCTAATAGGAAAAGTTCTGGTTTTAACTCTACCACTTGCCCTAGTATTTCTTCCAACCATTCTTTAACCTTAGTCCAAAAATCACAAGCTCGCGGGCACTCCCACCACATATGATAGTATGTTCCAATTGCCAGATTACATTTCCAACATTTAGAAGAAATGTTGGGACCCATTTTAGTTAATCTTATGGGCGGGATCATTCCGTTATTCTTTACGTGCTCTGTAAAACTTGGTGTCCTGTGCAAAAGAGCAGGCCCACATGGGAAGTCCAGTTAAACTGATATATTAATAGTAAGCCTATTGCAGAAGACTCTTCTCATCTATTAGAGTTACATAAATGTTGGAGTTGAATGGAATTCCAGTAGGTGTAGACAGCTTATGCTACTTAGGATTCTAGACTGATCCCTCTTTGAGGAGTCCTTGGGGCTTAGAATAGAATAGAGCTGGAAGGGACCTTGGAGGTCTTCTAGTCCAGCCCCCCACTCAAGCAGGAGAACCTATACCATCTCAGACAAGTGACTGTCCAGTCTCTTCTTAAAAAACCTCCAGTGATGGAGCACCCACGATTTCTGGAGACAAGCTGTTCCACTGGTTAATTGTCTTCACTGTTAGGAAGTTTCTCCTTAATTCCAGGTTGCTTCTCTCTTTGGTCAGTTTCCAACCATTGTTTCTCATCCTTCCCTCTGGTGCTTTGGAGAATAATTTGACCCTTTCTTCTTTGTGGCAGCCTCTCAAACACTGGAACACTGCTATCATGTCACCCCTATTTCTTCTTTTCTTTAGACTAGCCAAACCCAGGTCCTGCAGCCGTTCTTCATATGTTTTAGTCTCCAGGCCTTGGATCATCTTAGTTGCTCTTCTCTGAATTTTTTCCAAGGTCTCAACAACTTTTTTGTAGTATGGTGACCCAAATTGGTTGCAATATTCCAGGTGTGGTCTCACTAGGGTTTTACAAAGCGGTACTAATACTAATACTACTAATAATAATATTTCTTGCAGACATTTCATTATCCAAACTAGGTAACATCACCAGTGCTAGTCTGATGCACTGATGACGTTACCTAGTTTGGGTAATGAAACGTCTGCAAGGAAACAACCAAGCTCAGAGAATATCAAGGACCCTTCCTTTCAACCTGGAGCTACAAATATTTTCCTTTATTTATCCTTTTGTTTAACTCCACCACCAGCCCCCAGGTTCTGCCATTCCTTCTCCTACACTTGGGATGTTTTCCTTGGCCAACTAACCCAGGATGAATAGAGCTACTCAAAAAACAAATTGCCCATGCATATAAGAACCTTCAAATAATCCATTTTATCCATGTCTTGATTTTACACAGTATTCAGGGATGTTTTTAGGAAGTCTATGACTTAGAAAGGAAGGGTGTAGCCCTCTTCCAACAAAGCCCTTTTATAGCCTTCATACCATAAAGGAGTGATGTTGATCCATGTCTGCTTACTTGGCAGTTACTTTAGTTCCAACAAAAGGAGACTTTTTAAGCAAAAACGGGAGTACAGGGGCATCTTAAATGATAAATAATAACATTGCGGTCTTTAATGTGTCCTAAGAATCCTTACTGTTTCTGCACAATTTTAATAACTGCTGTTTGAGATAAAGTGTCATCTTGTATCTTCCATTTGATTAGAAATTATGCTAAGGTTAAAGCTACCTAGGTGTAGTTGTCTTACATTAAGTGGTTAGCAAGTGCCAAGTTTTCTGGACTTGAAGTTAAGCTAGGCCTAGTTAGTCTTTTGCTGGAAGACCATATGAAAAGCCCAGAGCTGGGAAATTTAAAAAAAAAACCTGGAACAAATCTGGAGAAAACTCATGGTCATTTCCATGTAGTCCCCAAGAGTCAAGCTTGACTAAAGGTGCTTTTTCAAGAGATAACTGGACTTTCTTGTTTTTCTTTGAAGACATTTTGCTTCTCATCCAAGAAGCTTCCTCAGCTCTGACTGGATGGTGGGGAACGGAAGGATTTTCAGCCGTTCCAAGAAGGCTCCACCACCCATTTGCACCACTCAGGTGACCCCTGAGGACACAGATAAACCTCCAAGTGGCCTCAACAACTCTCTAAAAGGAGGCAAATGACCAGCTGTCTGCAAGGAGTATAAATCCTTCCATTTCCCCACCATCCAGTCAGAGCTGAAGAAGCTTCTTGGATGAGAAGCAAAACATCTTCAAAGAAAAACAAGAAAGTCCAGTTACCTCGTGAAAAAGCACTTTTGGGACAACCATGACCTGGATGACTGAGAATCTCCATAGACTTGACTCAAGGTCTTCTTATAGTTCTTGGTTTCCAAACAAGGTCTGCATAATTATCAGGTTATCTTAATCGAGCATTGCTATAGCCTTGAGTCTCTGTGTCTTAAACATATTACCAGCATTTTGTTAATTGGTTTGGAACTTGTGCTTGCAGGTAGTCCAGCCTTGACACCCAGAAACTTGACGTCCTCTAGTTTGAACGACATATCTGACAAACCCGACAAGGAGCAGGTAAGCCTCACATTTCTGGCCATCGGCATCCTTAAGGGGGTACCAAGAGTGTCTATGATGCAGAAGAGTGAGGATGTGAGGATGAGGAGGGAAAGAGTCCTGAACTGTTGCGTGTTGTCATCTGAAGAAGCCGTCACAGTACTTCATTTGCTTGGTTTTGGCTTAAATGGATATGTATATAGCTTATTTATGCAGTCACGGTGGTGCAGTGGTTAGAATGCAGTATTGCATTCTGCAGTTTTGCAGTATTGCATTAGCCTGCAGTATTGCAGGCTAATTCTGCCAGTTGCCAGCAGTTCGATGGCTGACCGGCTCAAAGCTGACTCAGACTTCCATCCTTCTGAACTCAGTAAATGAGGACCCAGATTGTTGTGGGCAATATGCTGATTCTATAAACTGCTTAGCGAGGGCTGTAAAGCACACTGAAGCAATATAAGTGTAAGTGCTGTTGCTATTATTTGTAGAGTTACTTTTCAGTGATTAATTTTTCTTAAATATCCTGAACCCCCCCGTCCTTTCATTGGGTTAACACAGTGGTTCTCAACCTTTTTAATGCCGCGACCCCCAACCGATCGTAAGTCGAGGACTAAACCGGTCGTAAGTCGAGGACTAAACCGGTCGTAAGTCGAGGACTACCCAACCGGTCGTAAGTCGAGGACTTTCCCTGCCCGGGAGCGCCGCGCATGCGTGGTTCCGCCCCCTGCGCCGGCCGAGGCGTAGCTGGCAAGCGGCAGAGACGGAGCAGGCCGACCACCAGCTGGCCCAGCTCAA